AAGATTACCTCACACTAAGATAAAAAAAACTGTGTTGAACGCCGCAAATAAGAAACACACATGCAAAAAAACACACACACATACATACATAGATACACACACACACACATATATATATATATATATATATATATATATATATATATATATATATATATATATATTTCTGTGAGTGTTTTTGTGTGAACACGTATCCTCAGCGTCTATTACTCGCAGACATCGTGACTCATATGTTGACAACTTACTTTTCTTCAAGCTGTCATAACCGCAGTTGATTTGACTTCTCACCCCTAAGCTTAAATCCGCATTTTGGATCCAGCTACATTCCAAAAGCAACAGGCTGGGCCACGTCAAAATAAAATCCATTCTGCGTAAAGAAATACCCCTCCATTAGAATACCATCACATTTACTTATCTTTCCTTTTCTCTGTTCTTTTTTCTTTCTTTGTTACTAAACTTTGCACAATATAAGGTGCGAAAGCCACTCAAGGAAGATCGTTACAGTCGAAAAGGTAATGCTGGATGAGGCGTGTGATAGGAATGACAGTGAAGAAGATTGGAAGGTTATGGAGGATAGATAACAATTGACTTTTGAGCTGAAGTGCTTAAGAGTGATGTATTTAAGGAGGCTAGCGTAAGCAAATCTGTTTAATAAAGTGACAATTCTAAAAAAAATATGTCCGAATGAAAATTTCCTGTTGCATTTGGAACACAAGAGAATAAAGATGCTGGAGGAAATTTCTTGTTGCATTTACTATAAATAGGAATTGTCGTTTGGTTGATTTTGTTTACAAGCATATCAACACCTCTATGGGTTATTTAGTGCCGAAATCTAAATATTTTGAACATGATTTTATGGCTTCAACAAAAAATATTTTGAAAGAATATGTACGCCTGTTCAACTACAGATAAAATGCATTGTTGGTTATTTTGTATAAAATATATGTTATTGGTAATTTTATTATAAATCAGCATTCTTGGTAATTTTACTGTAAGTAGGTATTTTGGCATCTAGCTATATTTATACTGGGGAAAAACATGCTTGAATGGAAATTTCTTGTTGAATTTTGAAAACGGAAGAAAAAAGATTCAAGGATGGAAATACTTGGTACTCAGAGAAAAAATGATGACTGGATGGAAAATTCTTGTTACATTTGGAAGAAAAACGAATAAAGATGCTTAGATAGAAATTACTTGATGTATTTGGAACACGGAGGAAAAAGATGCCTCGATGGAAAATGCTTGTTGCATTTGGAGAATTGGAAGAAAAAGGATGTTTCGATGGAAATTACTTGTTGCATTTGGAGCACCGAAGAAAAAAGTTCACTAGGTAGAAAGTTCTTGTTGCATTTGGAAGATAGAATAGACGAAATACAATTAAATACAAATGAGAAATAAATACATCAAAACAAGTAAAAATAATCAATACATATAAATAAATAAAGTAAATAATAAACAAATTAACAAACCGATCCCGCCAAAATAACCGTTAGAAAAGTCTACCACAATCAATTGTAGTCTCGCTGGATCTGACTGACTGACAGACTCCTACGGACCTCACTCCAGACTTCAAACAGAACAGTATTTAGTCACCCCCACGAGGGCATCATGTGGCACAAGGCCGGTCTAACGTGGGATCTCTGAGCCCGTGAGCTCGGCCAAAAATATGCCCATTGAACCCGTATAAACGGGTTCAGGTTCGGTTTACCTCCCCGAAAGAGAATCCGCACTTTGGCGTAGCCTCGTTCGGGTTTCTCCCCGCCAGAAGGCAGAGAGTTCAACCGATAAGCCGGTCAGCCAGTCGCCCGATTTCGGGCTGAACTGCTTCTTCCTCTTGAGACTATTCCATACGTAATAAATGCTGCATTTATTACGTATGGAATAGTCCATTATGTTATTATGGGTAAGGTCCGATAACAATTACAAAAAAGGCTATCCAATGAATAAGGTTTGTTAGATCATAATTAATAAAAAAACAAAAAATAGTTAAATGTTTATATAACACCATAACACTTCTGGACACAAATTATAAGACAAAATATTTTAACACTATTTACATTATTCAGACTATTGTCCTCATCATTGTTGCCATATTTATCACAACGTTTCGGCCGTTGTACGCTCCCGCCTTCTTTTTGTGATAAATATGGCAACAAAGATGAGTACAATAGTCCGAATAATGTAAATAGTGTACATAATACCTCATCTCAGAAATATAGACAGATACTGAAGGGCCGAAACGTTGTAATAAATATGGCAACAAAGATGAGGACAATAGTTCGAATAATGTAAATAGTGTACATAATACCTTATCACAGAAATATAGACAGATACTGAAGGGCCGAAACGTTGTAATAAATATGGCGACAAAGATGAGGACAATAGTCCGAATAATGTAAATAGTGTACATAATACCTTATCACAAAAATATAGACAGATACTGAAGGGCCGAAACGTTGTAATAAATATGGCAACAAAGATGAGGACAATAGTTCGAATAATGTAAATAGTGTACATAATACCTCATCTCAGAAATATAGACAGATACTGAAGGGCCGAAACGTTGTAATAAATATGGCGACAAGGATGAAGACAATAGTCCGAATAATGTAAATAGTGTACATAATACCTTATCACAAAAATATAGACAGATACTGAAGGGCCGAAACGTTGTAATAAATATGGCAACAAAGATGAGGACAATAGTTCGAATAATGTAAATAGTGTACATAATACCTCATCTCAGAAATATAGCCAGATACAAAATGTTTTAAATTTGTATTGTTTATTAAAAATCACCCTAAACCTACTACACAATAAAATATTACCTAATAATATAGCTAAATTGTTCAATTTCCCTTCGAAGTAAATGAAGGTCTTATTTCATTATACGATGATTAGTAATAATGTACTTGTGGCATGCATCGTGTCCATATACTGTTTGTAAAGCTTCAGTAAATTATAAATTTTAAAAGGCTTTGCTATAAGGATTTCACTGATGAACAGAATGAAATTCCAACGCTAAGATTTTGAAGCGAAATTTAATCTTTAAACTCGTTTCCTCAAAAAAAAACAGTAACGATTTGGAAAATAACATTTTAGGTCTTTATTGCTCATGTCAAACCCCAACTTTCAAATTGAGTGTAGGACGACGTTTCCAAAATTGCCCTACCCAATTATACAAAGGTCAATAAAGTCCGTAAAGACAAACCTTGTTCTCTTTGGATCTTCTCGCTATACAGATTAACAGATCGTGACAGATATCAGGGAGATATGATTAAGTATTTTTTAAGACATTTTTATTTTACGTTTATACGTTCTTTTTATCTCTATCTATAAAAGACAGGATGTGTGTGTGTGTGTGTGTGTGTGTGCAACGAATGCACGGCAGCAATTTTTAACGGATTTGCACCAAAATTTACATGCACATGCTCCAAGTTAGTAGAAAGGCCAAGACCGACTTTGCATTTCCCAACTCCCATCGATAGTGGAAATAATCGATTTTTCATGCTTCTACGGCAGTTTTCATGTAGTTTGCGACCATTTTCTACTGGCCAGATTGAGAGCCTATAGCTGGCTGCCACGAATAGGCAGGAAGATTCTATTGGCCAGCGTGAATGCCAACAGCTGACTGACACGAATGTTAACTAGCATGCTAGAATGCAAAAATACATCGATAGCTGCATTCGTCACAATTGGGAAAAATTTAAATCTGCATGGCACTTTACTCCAATTGGATCATTCACTTGCTTAAACTCAACGTTGATTATGATTCCGCAGAACTGGGTTGGATGTGAAAAAGTATTTGTTGTTAACATTCTTTTTTCATTCGGTTTTTCCAGTTATGAGTCATTTTTTAAAGCTGATCGTTTTGTGTTCATTATCTTTAGTTCTTTTTTCGTAACAGATTTAATGTTTAGTATAGAGCTTAGAAAAAATTCGCAGTGTGAGATAGGCAAGAAGTAAGACATGTAGCAACATCAGCACGGCAAAGGGCACTCCTTTAAAGGCAAGGAAGGGCAAAAATATTTTAAGCCAAGTGATAGCGATTGTTGTATGAATCGTACGATTTTTGAATCAAGCACGGGCAACGCCGCGCCATGCTGCTAGTATATATATATATATATACAATCTATAAATCTATAATTCAACTTATTTACGTTAATCTTAACGGGCTTAAGTTTAAGTCCCCCATAATAATATTGGACACCTGTAGTACAAAATCTATTTACTGTGAATCTCAGGATAACACATACGGGGCCTGTATAAGTCAAGTGATAGCGATTGCTGCATGAGTCGTACGATTTTTGAATCAAGCACGGGCAACGCCGGGCCATGCTTCTAGGAGATAAACATAAAAAAAAGGCTTTAAAAATAATTGTCGGGCTTTCTCCATTTCATAATGTATGATTAAATATACTTTAATATTTTAAAGAATTATTCAGTATTATTATTGTTTAGGTAATAAGCCTTATAACATAGCACAAATAGCTATATTGTGAAAAAAGGAATTTTCAACAATATACGCATTTTTTACGTATTTATGGTTGTTTTTTTTTTAACTTTTATAAAAAACGACATTCTTTTACATGTAGTTATGGATAATATTATACACTAATTAATATTTCTTTTTAATCAATAACTATTTATGCTCAGTGTTGACATTAATTGCTATATGCTGATGTGTTAAAATTTTAGAATAATGAAATAATAAAAATTTCATCTCTCTGATAGATGTCGAGATCTGTAAATAAAACTTTTTTAAAATGAGAAAATCTCAGACGTTCGCCGCAGAAAAAAAAATCCACTAAACTGTACAATAAGTATCAAGAACGCCATCTTTGATGTATATCAGTTCTCCCACTTCTCAATGTATGATTAAATATACCTTAATGTTTAAAAAAATATTCAGCAATAGGCCTTTGGGTCGAAATCGTAAATTCACCCCTCTTACGTCAAAACACCATACTTTCAAATTTCTTTGCAACAAAGAGAAGTAAATGAATTCGAAATCCCTGATTCGAACGTCGTCCTCACATCGCCTCAACCTGCAGGAACCAACTGTTACCCTATTATGCCACCGCTGTTCTTGCGATAACGAAAGTGTCTGGTTAATATTAGCAGTGTTCTTTATGGCTATTTTACGTGTAGAACTCTGCCAATTGCTCGTTCTACAGTCCTTTTTTTTCCCATCACCTGTTAACCAGCCTTTACCGCTACCTCCATACCCGGTTCTTCTTTCTTGGGTGTCTCCCGCCCATCGTCTGATGCACTGCAGTCGATGTTACAGCGTCAATAACTTGATGCCTTTTTTTTTCTTGATAAGCAAGCAATTGAAATCACGTCTCGCATAACAAGACACTGACTGCTGTCTTTCGCTTCTTGTTTGCTCTTTATTTCTTCGTTTTACACGTTTTATTTTCTTTCGCTTTTTTTTTTCTTCTTCATTGATTCCATGTCTGTTTGCGTTTCTGGAAGTGATACGCCAGACTGATGTCGCTTGTTCTGTTCAAATAGATTTAAATGCTCAATTTTTTTTTTTTATTTCTAACGTTATGATATGCGTCTGTGCGTCTGAATTGTGTGTCCCTCTGTGTTATATCTTTCTCTTCGTTTCTGTTTTGTTTTGTATATTTTTTTAACCGTTCCGGGGGTTTTATTCTTTTCTGATCTTATTTTCTCTTTTTATTTTGGTAATATATTTGTTTGACTCTTTTCTTTACTAATTACACATTTCATCAGTTTTTTTCTTTCCGTCACTTTTTTTTTTCTTTTCGTTGTGAATTTTCTGTCTTATTTGAAAAAAATTTTCAGCCCCATTCTTGGTTAATTTTGTTTGTTTTTATTTTCTGTTTTTTTTTTCCTGTTTTTTTTTCCTGTTTTTTTCCTGTTTTTTTTCCTGTTTTTTTTCTGTTTTTTTTTTCCTGTTCTTTTTTTTTCTGTACTTTTTTTTCTGTTCTTCTTTTTCCTGTTTTTTTTTTCCTGTTCTTTTTTTTTCTGTACTTTTTTTTCTGTTCTTTTTTTACCTGTTTTTTTTTTCTGTTCTTTTTTTTCCTGTTCTTTTTTTTCCTGTTCTTTTTTTTCCTGTTTTTTTTTTCCTGTTTTTTTTTCCTGTTTTTTTTTCCAGTCTTTTTTCTGTTCTTTTTTTTTCCTGTTCTTTTTTTTTTTTTTTCTGTTCTTTTTTTTCTGTTCTTTTTTTTCCTGTTTTTTTTTTCTTTTTTTTACTGTTCTTTTTTTTCTGTTCTTCTTTTTCCTGTTTTTTTTTTCTGTTCTTTTTTTTCTGTTCTTCTTTTTCCTGTTTTTTTTTCTGTTCTTTTTTTTTTTCCTGTTCTTTTTTTTCCTGTTTTTTTTTCCTGTTTTACTTCTGTTCTTTTTTTTTCCTGTTCTTTTTTTCTTTTTTTTTCTGTTTTTTTTTCTGTTCTTTTTTTCTGTTTTTTTTTCTTTTTTTTTCTGTTCTTTTTTTCCTGTTCTTTTTTTCCTGTATTTTTTCTGTTCTTTTTTTCCATGTTCTCATTTTTTTTACTGTTTTTTTTTCCTGTATTTTTTTCCTGTTTTTTTTCTTTTCTTTTTTTTCTGTTCTTTTTTTCCTGTTATTTTTTTCCTGCTTTTTTTCTGTTCTTTTTTTTCCTGTTTTTTTGTTCCTGTTTTTTTTTCTGTTCTTATTTTTTTCCTGTTCTTTTTTTCTGTCCTTTTTTTTCCTGTTCTCATTTTTTTCCTGTTTTTTTCTGTTCCTGTTTTTTTCTGTCTTTTTTTTTTTTTTTAAACGTTTCTTCCGTATTTTCTTTCTCTTTTTCTTTTGCTCCTTCTTTATTTAATACTGATGTAATGAATATGCATAAACCTGGGTTCCTCCTCACAGTAATATGATTGGCTGGTATCAGCCATAAATACAGACTGATGTGGAGGTACAGGGAGGACGCCTAATGACTACGCTTATTGGCTTACACCTGTTGCCTACCTCTACGACGAGGACCAGTCCATTACGGTTACCTGCTAGATTGTCCTACCCGGTTACAGTAATCAACAACCACTTGGCTACTTCGAACAAATATATTCCTTTCCGGGATATATCAAATACCATTTTAAGGATTTATTTCCTTTTGGCACATTTATTCGTATCGTTCTTTTATGGCTAATCATTCTTTGTTTCATTCCTTCTCCAATTCTTGATTGAGATCTTTTCTTGGTTGTCCCCTTTCTTTCTCTTTCTCTCTCTCTCTCTCTCTCTCTCTCTCTCTCTCTCTCTCTCTCTCTCTCTCTGTGTCTTTGTTTGTTTCTTTCTTTTATTACGCTTCCTTTGTTTTTTTAATTTCTCTCTTTCTTTATACCTTTCTTTCTATTTCTTTTTCTTTCCTTTCCTACTTTTTTATTTAGTTCCTTTTTAAGGTTTTTCTTTCTTTTTGGCACATTTATTCTTATCTTTCTTTTATGGCAAATCATTCTTTATTTTTTCCTCCTCCATTTTTTCATCGAGATCTATTCTTGCTTTCCATTTACTTTCTCTCTTTCTTTATTTCTTTCTTTTTTATGTTTCCTTTGCTTTCTTTATTTCTCTCTTTCTTTATGTCTTTCTCTCTTTTTCTTCTTTCCTTCCTTATTCATTTCTTATTTAGAATTTGTTTTATTCTGGTTCATTTATTTGTATCTTTCTTTTATGGTCAATCATTATTTATTTATTTCCATCTATATAGATAGACGTTGTGAAGATAAAGTAACAGTTCGAATAATACAAGGTTAAAATTACATCTATTTGAAAATTTTCGTTCTGTTTTATATTTGTGCTTTTTCATCTTTCACGAGAATTATGTGTTTTTTTCTATTAATTATCACAAGATAGATATGAATAAACTGTGATAGATAGATAGATAGATAGATAGATAGATAGATATGAATAGGCTAAGTCTGATAATTATGAATAAATTGTGATAGATATGAACAGACCGAAATAGATAGATAGATAGATAGATAGATAGATAGATAGATAGATAGATATGAATTGCGTTAGATAGATAAATAGATATGAATAAAATAAGATAGATAGATAGATAGATAGATAGATAGATAGATAGATAGATAGATAGATATGAATAGGCTGAGTCTGATAATTATGAATAAATTGTGATAGATAGATATGAACAGACCGAAAAAGATAGATAGATAGATAGATAGATAGATAGATAGATAGATAGATAGATAGGAATTGCGTTAGATAGATAAATAGAAATGAATAAAATAAGATAGATAGATAGATAGAAAGATAGATAGATTCAGACAGACAGGCAGGCAGACAGACAGATATGAATAGGCTGAGTATGACAGATATGAATAAACTGTGATAGATAGATAGATAGATAGATAGATAGATAGATAGATAGATAGATATGAATAGGCTGAGTCTGATAATTATGAATAAATTGTGATAGATATGAAATAGATAGATAGATAGATAGATAGATAGATATAGATAGATAAAGATATATAAAATAAAGATAGATAGATAGATAGATAGATATAAATAGCGTTAGATAGAAGGTATGAATAGCTTTAGATAGATAGATAAATAGATATGAATAAAATAAGATAGATAGATAGATAGATAGATATGAATAGGATGAATATAAATAGCGATAGATAGATAGAAGATATGAATAAACTGTGAGATAGATATGATAGATAGATAGATAGATGAAATAGGCTGAGTCTGATAATTATGAATAAATTGTGATAGATAAAATGAAAGACCGAGATAGATAGATAGATAGATAGATAATATGTTAAATAGGTATGAATCTGTTAGATAGATAAATAGATATGAATAAGATAAGATAGATAGATAGATAGATAGATAGATAGATAGATAATAAACGTTGATAGATGATAGATAGATAGATAGATAAATAGATATGAATAAAATAAGACAGATGAATATAGATAATATGATGAATAAATAGTGAGTCTGAATAGATGAATTATATGAATAAATTGTGATAGATAGATATGAACAGACCGAATAGATAGATAGATAGATAGATAGATAGATAGCGTTAAATAGATAGGTATGAATTGCGTTAGATAGATAAATAGATATGAATAAAATAAGATAGATAGATAGATAGATAGATAGATAGATAGATATAAATAGCGTTAGATAGATAGATAGATGAGATAGATTTAGATAGATAGATAAATGAAATAATATGAATAAAATAAGACAGATATATAGATAGATAGAATAGGATAAAAAGATGATAGATAGATAGATAGATAGATAGATAGATAGATAGATATGAATAAAATAAGTGATAGATAGATGAGATAGATAGATATGAATAGAATAGGCTGAGTCTGATAATAAACTGTGATAGATAGATGAATAGAAATAGATGATAGATAGATGAGATATGAACAGACTGAAATTAGATAGATAGATAGATAGATAGATAGATAGATAGATATGAATAGATAGATGAATTGCGTTAGATAGATAAATAGATATGAATAAAATAAGACAGACAGATAGATAGATAGATAGATAGTTAGATAGATATGAATAGGCTGAATCTGATAGATAGATAGATAGATAGATAGATAGATAGATAGATAGATATGAATATGATAATAGGCTGAGTCTGATAATTATGAATAAATTGTGATAGATAGATATGAACAGACCGAAATAGATAGATAGATAGATAGATAGATAGATAGATAGGTATGAATTGCGTTAGATAGATAAATAGAAATGAATAAAATAAGATAGATAGATAGATAGAAAGATAGATAGATTCAGACAGACAGACTAATTTAGGCAGACAGACAGATATGAATAGGCTAAGAGTATGATAGATATGAATAAATTGTGATGATAGATAGATAGAGATAGATAGATAGATAGATAGATAGATAGATAGATAGATAGATAGATAGATAGATATGAATAATCTGAGTCTGATAATTATGAATAAATTGTGATAGATATGAACAGACTGAAAAAGATAGATAGATAGATAGATAGATAGATAGGTATGAATTGCGTTAGATAGATAAATAGATATGAATAAAATAAGATAGATAGATAGATAGATAGATATAAATAGCGTTAGATAGATAGGTATGAATAGCTTTAGATAGATAGATAAATAGATATGAATAAAATAAGACAGACAGATAGATAGATAGATAGATAGATAGATAGATATGAATAGGCTGAATCTGATAGATAGATAGATAGATATGAATAAAATGTGATAGATAGATAGATAGATAGATATGAATATGATAATAGGCTGAGTCTGATAATTATGAATAAATTGTGATAGATAGATAGATAGAATAGATAGATAGATAGATGAAGATAGATAGATAGATAGATATGAATTAAATAGATAGGATAGATGAATAAATTGCGTTAGATAGATAAATAGACATGAACAAAATAAGATAGATAGATAGATAGATATGATTATTCTGACAGATAGATAGATAGATAGATAGATAGATAGGAACACGCTTAAATAGATAGATTCGTCTTGAATCTGCTTCATTATTCGTTTCCTTCTTTTTCATTTCCTTTCTTTCCTTCACCTTTTATTCTTTTCTATTATCATTCCGTTTCAGTGAACATTTCTATGCTTCTTCTTTTTTTTTCTCCTTCGACCATTGAAACATCCGGGTTTCAGAGCATATTCCGACATTATACTCACCTTTGTTCCAGTTGCTATTTTATAACAGAACAGTTTCCCTTTCCTTATTTCGCTCGCTTTACTAAACACCACTGCATTTGAGTGATATATTTTTGGCAATGAGTTCTTGAAAATATATCACAATACATACATTTATATTAGGCCCTTTCCCCCCAAGAACAAAGAAGAGGTAAACATTCAGTTTCATGTGTTTAGGTTTTATTACATTTCTCATAACCGAGTTGAAAATCAATAAATATTGCCGAAGAGTGAAGGTAATAAAAATAATAGCGGTGTCTAGGGAAAAGTCATTCTTTTGACACATCGTCATATTGAGGCACAAAGGTCGATGTTTGCCGAAATTAATATATCATCGTCTTCCATAATGGCTTATAAAAGGCGAATATATTTGATGCTCGCTTAAGTCGTGAATCAATCTCTCACAGTTTATTCATATGTATCAATCACAGCCTATACATATCTATCTATCTATCTATCTATCTATCTATCTATGTAACGCTATTCATATCTGTCTATCTAACGCTTTTTATATCTATCTATCTATCTATCTATCTATCTATCTATCTATCTAACACTTCATATCTATCTTCCTAACGCTATTTATATCTATCTATCTATCTATCTATCTATCTTATTTTATTCATATCTATCTATCTATCTATCTATCTATCTATCTATCTATCTAACGGTATTTATATCTATCTATCTATCTAACGTTATTCATATCTATCTTACTCTATTCATATCTCTTATTTTATTCATATCTATCTATTTATCTATCCATCTATTTATCGCACTTCATACCTATCTATCTAACGCTATTTCTATCTATCTATCTATCTATCTATCTATCTATCTAACGCTATACTTTCTGCCTATTTTTTTGTGTTCATACATACCTATCTATCCCTATGTCGGTATATCTATTATATCGTGTTCATCTCTCTCTCTCTCTCTCTCTCTATCCATGTATCTACCTAACTCTCAACCTATTTTGTTGATATTTTATCTCAATCTTACCATTATATATTATACTGTCGTTTCAAACTCTTTCTAATATATATATATATATATATATATATATATATATATATATATATATATATATAAAGAAATATATTCTTAAGGTGTGCTATATTTATGGGATAAAGTGCTCAATATCAGAGTGCGAGTGTAAATATAAAAGTGAACATTGACGTCAACACTTAGAGGCGACAGGCTGTTTCATGCTAGACGCAATCGTCAGGCCACGAGTGTTGTTTTTTTTTCTCTTGGATATTTATATATATACTGGTCAGTGGTGCATTGTGGTAGTCTATTTTGGCGGTTATTTAGCCGGAATCGTTTATTTATTTATTTATTTATTTGTGTTAAATTGTTTTCTATGTTTTTATTTATTTTTATATTTTAATTTTAATTTTTTATTTCTTATATATTTATTTATTCATTTTTTATTTTAATCTGTGTTTCATTAACTTCGTAAAAATTGTTTGTATCGCTTATTGAATAGTTTTGTTTCGGTTTAGGAAGATAATTAAAGCTATTTATTCAATTTTGGGGTTGATGGCTGCAGTTAATTCTAATATTATGGCAGCAGCAGTTTTTAATTTGTTTATTACTTCATTTATTCATTTGTATTGATTATCTTTACTTGTTTTTCATAAGGGTTAATTTATCTAGATCGGTTTCTTAGTTTGTTTATTTATTTGAATTTATTTCGATTCATTTATTTTACTTGTTTTTTATTCTTTATTTATTGTACTCTATATTTTTTATTTACTCTTTTAGGCTTTCGTTTTTAAAGTAACGTAGTATTTTTTATTGTTATATAAGAGTGTTAACTTAATATATATATATATATATATATATATATATATATATATATATATATATATATATATATATATATTACAGTACAAGGCCAGGAGACGACTCGTGGAAAAGGTTACATTAACGAGAGGAAGATAGATTGAACAGGTTGAGATTATAGAGATCGGGAAAACATCCTATAGTGAATCTATTCCAGAGGGCCGTGTTTTGCAGAAAGAAGCTGTTTCAGTGTAACTTACTTCTCGCTGGTGGAATACAGAAGAAAAGTGGGGTGGTTGCTACTAAGTACGTGTTATGATGTATCCTATCGGTGAATATCTGACCTGGTAAAACCAGCAGATGCAGTTCTTCCGTGCTCTTTCCATAATATTGAGAAGTGTGAGACTCGCCACATCTAGCCTGCAAGTGAGAGGTTGCAGTGTGGAAAATAATTCTTCTCCCACAAGGACTCTGAGTCGCTTTTGAACTCGATTAAATCTTCAGAGTAACGTCTGGAGAGTTCCTGCAAAAAAAAAAAAATAATAATAATATTTGGCCTGATCTGGTTCTTATAAACCCTTTTATATCATCAACTTTTTTGTTTTTGATTTTGTAGACTGAAAAGTATTGTAGGGTCTGTTGGGCACCGTCTGTGAGAAAAAGAGCATGAAATAATTCACTCCACCAGAAATTTGGATCGGTTTGGTTTGGTTTGGTTTAGGTTTGGTTTTGTTTCGGTTTAACGACCCATCAACCATTATGGTCATTTAAGAGTCAGTTTTTGAATTTTGGGATCACACTTTTTTAATGTAGTTTATTTGTTTTGAAGTTGGTGCACATGTTAGAATGGTTGTATGCATTAGATTGGTTGTACACATTTTTATTTTAACTAGATTTTGTTGTATAGTCCTATTTTCTTTAAATATGCCATTAAATGATCTATCTTGGTGTGTTCAAATAGTTCTTTCATTGTTTTTGTATTGTAGTACTTTTTCCGTACAGATGAAAAGTCAGCGCAGTCAACCATGAAGTGCCTTACAGTGTATAGGGCATGACAGGCTGTGCACCAGGGCGGTTCCGTTTTTTTTTTTTTCAAGTAGGAATAGATGAGTTATTTTAGTATGTCCACTACGGAGTCGAGAAAGGATAACTTCCTCCCTTTGTGATTCCCTGAAACCCTGTAGCCATTCACCTAGAGTGGGTCTTATTGTTAGTAATTTATTTAAATTGCAGTTGTTCCAGTGGATTTGGATATATGATTGTATTTCTACTTTTAAATCTGTGGATGAAATCTTATATGTTTGGTCAATGGGCTCTTTATGGGCATTTTTGGCAGCTGTGTCAGACTTATCATTTCCTCGGATTCCCACGTGACTTGGAATCCAACAAAGGATAATTTCTTTTGTATCTGACAACGATGTTAATCTGCACAATAGTTTTATGATCAGTGGGTTCTCTAATTTTTTTGCTTTGTAGAGTTTTCAGTACTGATAGAGAAACTGAAAGAATCAGGAACTTTTTCCTTTTGCTTTGGGAGATGATGTTAAGTGCCAAATCTATGGCTTTTAATTTAGCACTAAAAGTAGATGCTTACTTAGGGTTATGGGACCTTACCCATAATAACATAATGGACTATTCCATACGTAATAAATACTGCGCCTCAAAAGGAAGCAGGAGTTCAGTCGAAGTCGGGCAACCGGCTGACCGGCTGATCGGTTGAACTCTCTGCCTTCGGGCGGGAGGAACGAACGAGGCTACGCCGAAAGGCGGAGTCTCTTTCAGGGAGGTAAACAGACCCTGAACCCGTTTATACGGCTTCAAAGGGCATATTTTTGGCCGAGCCCACGGGCTCGGAGATCCCACGTTAAACTGGCCTTGTTCCACATGATGCCCTCGTGGTGGGGGTGACTAAATACTGTTCAGTCTGAAGTCGGACGACCGACTGACCGGCTGATCGGTTGAACTCTCTGCCTTTGAGCGGGGAGGAACCCGAACGAGGCTACGCCGAAAGCCGGAGTCTCTTTCGGGGAGGTAAACCGACCCTGAACCCGTTTATACGGGTTCAAAGGGCATATTTTTGGCCGAGCCCACGGGCCCGGAGATCCCACGGGCTCGGAGATCCCACGGGCTCGGAGATCCCACGGTAGACCTGCCTTGTGCCACATGATGCCCTCGTGCGGGGTGGGGACTAAATACTGTTCCGTCTGAAGTCTGACTTCAGCCAGAAGTCTGGAGTGAAGCCCGTCAGTAGCCTGTCAGTCAGTCAGTCAGAGCGAGCGAGTCAGTCAATCGAGTCAGAGGCATTCCGAAACAGAGTCGCGTTCAGACAATGACTACAAGACATTGGAATAGTGATACTGGTCGAGACTACATCGTTCTTCTTACTAAAACCTGATTGTTCATACTAACACTTCTACTTCTCTGTATATATTCCTGTTTGTAATATAGCTGTGTTATTCCATACCTGTGTTCGAGTTCTTCTTTTTTGGTTCTACCTTGGACTATCACCGTGGTACAAGGAACCGGACCATAACACTTAGGAAAATGTTTTTGTATGACTTGATTCTCGTAAACATCTGCGCATCCTGTTGTGTCCTTTTCCTTAGATCCATCTGTAAATATGGCGCTATATTTGGAATAATAGTTCAGGGTTTTATTTAGAGCTTCCTAAAAGATCTGTGGATGTGTGGTGCTTTTGAAATTTGGAAATGACATTCTATACTGCTTGGCATTCGCGCTGAAATCTCCAATACGAACATTTCAACGTGATTGGGTTTTAATCTGAGGACAGCGCAGAGGATTCAGAAAGATTTGGATGCGTCTCGTCTAATGGTAATCACGAAGTTACAGCAGTTCGGAAAATCACTCTGATCGTTCTGATCAGAAAAGAACTGAATTTGTTGGCCTCTGACTCAACAAGTCTACATCGTGACTTGAGAAGGTACTGCAGACCTGGGTCAATAGGGTGGCTGCTGGAAAACCGTATGTCTGGCAACAGGAATCAGCATCATTTCCATATGACTGTCAGACAA